CAAATAATAAGCACTACGATTAAACATTTGTAAAACTCATACCGTACAGATCAGCTAGCAGAGAAGACTAAAGATAATGGTGAAATAAAACAGCGAGTTAGAAATGAAGAAATGGATAAGTGGAAGGCAAACACATTTCTTTAATGAGATGCTAGGCCTACGAATGTATATTGTGTATTCAAAATCCTCAAATGAAAAATCTCATTTAGAAGCACTGTGAACAATGAGAATTGCTTGATGCGTAAAATATTGCAATTTATTAAGTAAAATTACAAATATTTCCAGTAATTAATTCTTAAGACTTTTTTAAGTTAGTTGGTGGGCAGCTGGTAGAGCAGAGATTTGATAGTAAGCTTTGATGTAATGATGAGGTATATCAATATTAAGATAAATAGGATGGTGAAGGCTTTTGCATTAACATTTGAACAGTACCCAGAGATTAAAGCAAGAAGAGTTAAGCAGAGTATAAAATGAGATCCAAGAGGGCCGCCTAGCCCCTATGATATTGGTCAGATAAATTAACAACTATGTTTCCATATTACTAGAGCTGGTTGGCTAACAATAAACGTGTTTGATCATAGCCGTGGTGCATGAAGCAAAGACTTAACCATGAGAATCACTCGGGCTCTTTGGTCTCAAGTTACTCTTCCATCCAGCTTGAGAATCCTGATTTTTAGGGGTCTACTCAGGGAGGCGGGAGTATGAGTGCCATCGAAGGCTAATGCTTCAAGTAGTACAGATAGGGTAGAGCAGGGGTCAAGTAAAATACCTGAACCAGGAAGGTAGGAGGTGGATCCTACGTGACAAGAGGGAGACTCTGATAAGACCTATTGGAAGAGGATTTTAGAGTGAGGGGGTGAGAAAGCCAGTGTGGGGCTTGGAGAGTTCTCATGAAACCCACTAAAAAAGGCATATCCTACCACATTTAAACGAGCAATTAATGATTTGTGATAACGAAGGGGTGATACGAGGATATAGGATTGGTGAATAGACCAAGACAGATAATCGGTCAAAGAATCGGCTTTACTTGTCTCTTTGATGAGTTGTAGTTTGGTACTAACAATAGCAAAGCTCACTGACGATGCCAGCGAAACCCCTGGTAATGTACCACGTACACGGTCCGACTCTGGAAATTAGCATGCATACCATGGACTCCGGACTAGGTGCGTTCATCTAAGTCTTCCTACCAATATGACCGAGTTGCGCAAACAAGGTCAAACAAATAATTGGTCCTTAGGATTAATTGTCAAGTATTTTACAATATCAAGAACTAAGATAAAGAAAAGAAATTTGGCTCAAAAGCGGTAATGGTAAAAATTTTCATTTAGGTTCTTGATGCTAGCTTTGTCAGCTTTAGAAAAAGGTATGAGAGATACAAGGACATTGTACGCATGGGCCATATGTGGGATAAAATAATGAGATGGTTCAATAATATCACGAAATTGGACATAATAATTAAGATTTCAGTTGTCCACTTTTTTTGCTGTGTTTTATTTAAGTGTCTTATATGATTTTTTCTGGCCCTGACCATTTCAGTAACATGAAAAGCTGCAATGAAAAGGTCAATTTACGAACCTGTTTCACCCATTTCTTTCAAACTAAATAAAGGGTACGCTGACATTTTTCATCCAACTTTATCCGATTCTACGTCGTACCATCGACGATCCGTTCCTATCTAACATGCTGATTGAGCTCACTCTCCCCTTATCGCAACAACTATGATATCCGAGGCGCTATTCCCCATGAGCGTTTAAAGGCACGTATACAGTAGCCCCACCAAGCAGTGCTTTATCATTATAGCCCAATTTATCCATGTGCTTCTCATTCATTTAATTTGGCATGTGTACTAGATCAGTAAATCTCATGGTCTGGCAAGTCACGAACCACCTTCATGATTTAATTCATCTACTATGAGCCAACCGAGAAATTATGCTTCTGATCTCCACTGCATCTTTAAAGTAGGTTTGTGATCGAACTGGTCTCGTTCCTATAGCCAGTGTTAAATTGCTATTCCCATTTGCGCCAAGCCCTCAGATGTTGTAGCTGCTTCTTTAATTTGACTAGTACAATCAGCGCTATTTGATTCCTGATTGTCCCTCGAATGCATCGTCCTATCATATTCCAGAAGTTTTCGGGCGAGGTATGCCCTTTGAAAGCAATCTAAAACCACAACCAAGTTCCGAAAACAAGGACAGGCCAGTTTGAATTTAATGAAGCAGCAAAGACAAAAGGTAGAGTTGAGAAGCATAGGAAAATAAGTAATAAAGAATAAATGAAAAAAAATTCATTTAAATGCTCTGACATAAGGCCATCGTGACATAAGAAATGTAAAAGACGCTTTAAATATGAAATGGTGGACAAGACTTCGATTAAAGTTATAGATGTGCCATAAGGAGAATGAAAGGATGAGAAAAACCCTAATTATGCATAAAAGCTAAGTTCGGTGGTAAAGTCAAGCCCTGCATCAGAATTTGTTTAAAGGCAAGAATAAGCAAAAATATATACAAATAAAAAATTAAGCATATGGAAAAGCCCCCACCATGTGATTACAACCACCATTTTTTTCAATGCAAACATGGCATTGTGGACAGTCTTTGGTGTGTGCTGCCATGTAGTTGGCAGTACCAGAGTCGTCCCGACATTTTACCAACCAGCGACGGATCTTATCACAGTCGGTAGGTGCGTGGTAGTCCTCGCCACAGCCAAAACAAAATTCTGCAGTGCAGCGACTGCATTGAACTCGACGTGCTTTAGGAAGCTCCAAAGCAGCAATCACCACAGGGCAATTGGCTCCGACGCAAAAACGTAGGCGGGGATGGCACTATATTTAAGAAGAAAGCAAAAAGAAGTAAATATACGAGTGGTCATGACGACAAGAAGGGAGTAGCCTTTGATGTATGATCACGTTACCGTCGTTCCCAAAGGTGGACTAACTAGGATGAAGAGCAGTTTATGGCTCATCTAAACAATAATTACCTTAAATGGAAATCAAACCCAATAGGGGCGTATTCGAAACTCAATCTTTAGCCCTCAATACAAATGCAACTCTTTCTTCCTGTAGATCACCAACTGTCGAATTCTATATGAGAGGCTTTCTCTAATAAATAGCTTTAGCCTGGGTCATAATAATATAGAGTTAATAATAAAAGAAGTCTGAATGAAGGCGATAGGTTCGCTTGGACAAAGTACAGATAAAATGCCTTGCTTTGAATTCTATATTGGCTCTAAAGCGTGGTGGAATAGAAGTGGTTTGGCCTCGATTTCGCAATTTAGCCGTAATACTAGAAAGACATAGATAAATGCACCTCTTCTTGAATCCTTGTTCCGAAAATAATTTCCAGCGTTGGACCGTGGACTGAATACATTCCAGGCATTGTAGTGAATGTGCCTCGCCAATCTTAGAACCACACCACACTTCGTCAAATACAAGTAAAGTTCATACTTTGACCAACCGTCAGTTGAAAAATCGTGATATCTATCCTGTGCTGGTACATCT